GCAAGCAAAAGGCTATTTCAACCTGCTTTACTGGTTTCTTTCTAAGAATTAAACAGTAGCTACACCACACAAAAAGAATGGCATGAAGATATGTGAAGTCATGGTGTGTCATAAGCAAAGATAAACTCATAAACTACACTGTAAAAAAATATTTTTCAAAGTTGTAAAAAAAGATTATTGGAGTTTGTTTTAGAAGAAAACACTATTTCAGTATGTCTGCTTCAAAATTTTACTTTTATTTAAATGTTACTTCTATTAAATGCTACTATTTAAATGTTGTTTATTTGTAATTAATTGTGAAATGTATTAGCCTATATTCTATGCCTCTTTTATCCCTTGCATACTCAGACTAAATCTCTATTTGTATACTAACTGTGTAATAGTACATACTACATCATGCTAGATTAGTATTAATAGGTCCCAAATCATAATTAAAAACAGTATTTTGCAGGTACCCTAAATGCATATTCCATGTATGCATTGAAATATGCATGCTTTTAGGGCTAATATTGCCCACAACCAATGTCTGTGATATAATTTAAGATAGTATAATGCAAGATACTACACACACTCATGTTTTAAACACTTCATGCACACATGAAAGCACTCGGGTTTGTAACTTTTATATTAGTAATGAGCTTATAGATCATTGAAATATCTGTCAACACAGTCATGCTAGAGAGAAATATGTGTAATATTATCCCGAGTCACATTGAATTTAAGACATTATGACTGTATGCAGCATGACTAAAGCAACAGCAGAAACAGAAAAACAGCCTGTCTGATATTTTTATAACAACTGGCATTTTCATAAGACCAACTGTTTAAAGCGATGGGATTTCTAATAGCTTTCCTGCACATGCATGAATATTAAAGATGCCTTGGCTTCCATGCAGAAAATTACATTTTCATTGTCAAAACAGAAAATAAGCCCTTGATGGATGAGATATTAGCTTTAAAAACAGGTGAATTAGTTGCCTCTCAAGCATCTGAAACCTGACCAAAATGCAAGCCAATGTGCATACGTTGTTTTGCATGTGTGTGGAGTTTAAGGTTAGCTCAAGAACTACATAAAAGGTTTAGTTATTGTAAAAATGCCCTTTGATGCAAATATTTAGCACAGGATGTACTCTTCTTGTGTATAACAGCCTGAGGTCATGTTCTGTCTCCGTCCTTAATTATGTCATTAGCTCTTTTTTCTGCTCTCTATTCAAAAGAGGCTGGGCTCTGACCTGCTGCAGTTCACACTTGAATAAGACTATTTAGCATTAACCGTATGACCTCTTTGGAGGTGCAATGTATTTTGGGATGCACTGCCCTGGTATTAAAATATGAAAATGTGCTATCTCTTCTATCTGGCTGTGGGTGAGACTTGGCCAGACTGATATGCATACTTAAGTGGTAAAGTCTGTAAAATAGAGAGACTTGAGTCAACAACAGATTTCCATAGCGATGAGTGGTTATTGATGAGATATAATGAGATCCAGGGGGAAAAAATACATTTCTCTTGAAATTATATTTTTTCTGGATCTTTCAATTTAAAGCGACATAAACTGCTGACTAGTTCTCCAAATATAGGGTCATATATGACCTTTAAAGTCTTCCCCACCTCAACTGTTTTAAACATTAATATTAGTTATTAATATTAAAAGATGAATATTTAAACAATAAAAGAAGAGTTTCAGTATATATATAGCCTATAACATATTTATTATCTTCAAAAATTACCCAAAGTGAGAAAAACTTTTGTCCCTGTATTTACATAAAAATCCAACATTGAGTCATATTATGATTCTGTATGCACCATGGAAACATATGAACCTGATTGCCATAGAAAGATTTAATTAGCCTATTTTAAGACAATTAAGTTAATATAATTTAAATCCGAATGAAAGTGATTTAATACAGCTATAGGCATATTCGGAACATGCTGAAATATACAGTAGCTAATATTCCAGTTGCAGTTTTTTCAGATTAAAGGCTTAACCAAAACACCGACCATAATAGGCAAATGATGTGCGTGTAAATATGCTCAGTGTTTCCATGAGTCTACAGCAGACACACAGCAGCTGCTTTCAACTAGAGATGCGCTTTTTAGATGCGCCAATTCTGCACATTCCAGTGTAGCGCTAATCACACACACACACACACACATACACCCTGAACAACTCATTGAAAGTTTACTGACCGCTAAAGAAGCCTAGTTTGATTAAACTGTAGGCCTTGAACACAGATGCACTGTTTTCACGTGAACAGCACCAAATCTGCTTAATCTACTGCACGTCTACATCTGCGTAAGTAGCATATCTTTCCATATCAAGACTTATCAAGAGATTTTCCTAAGATAGACGATTTAGTCTGACACATTTAAACTTCCATACACGTTCGTTTTTGTTTAAATAGCCTACCACATTATAACCACTTAACAAATCAAAACTGGAAGTATTTCCTTAAACGGATATAAACATACTAGCAACTGATAAACATCAACAGCACAAGCTAAGAGCACGCACTTCCACAGTAAACAACGGTAGATATTAAAAATATAGATAAGAATAACACTTTTGACGTTTTTTAAGCCTTACTCACCTGACTGGAAGCACAACTTATGTTTTCCGACTTGCTTTCTTATTTCTGAAGTAACTCTCCTCACTTTCGTTTGCTTTTGTAGCCTATATATATGGAGGTAACGGCTGTTTTAACTGTGACCGATAGAAGTAAAACGCTTATAAACTATCGGTGAGCAGACCTTTGATTTCATGGTAGTCAAATAAAAAAAAAAAGTTCCGGAGCTCGAAAAAATGGGAATGGCAGTAAGTTTTCCCACGAACGGAAACAGTGTAGCAGGAAAGATGGAGAGGCGTGACTTCTTCACTGCGTTTACGGTCAAGCCACAGGAAAACAGTGCTGGCGCTTTCCAGCAGGGGGCGCCCGTCCACACGCAATCCCACACGAGAGTTATTCATTTAAAATATTCACAAATAACGAGGCTTGTAATTCCTAAAAATATGGTGAAATGTAGAAGTAAGTGTGCAAAACGCACTTTTAGGCGCTGAAACCTTTGTGTCTGTGAAAAAAAAGATGCGTAGCCTTTGGAAAATGTTAACTGATGGCCTTAAAGATGTCAAACTAAATTTTGTATGAGCTGTTTATTATATATATATATATATATATATTGGGTAATGACATTTTTACACCCCTGTTGCTAAGACATTTGGGCCTAAATACAGTTAAAGCACTGGATTGTGTAATGCTGTCATTTTCTGCAAATTAACATTACAATTACAGTAGGCATATTAACAAGTTTTATTTTTTATTTGAAATAATAGTTTTATAATTAATAACAATTTTGGTAAAAACATCAAAATTATAACATCGTTTTTATTTTTATCACTTATTAATATTAGCATTATAAGTACTGCTTTAAAAAAAGTAATAGAACACCAAAGTGTAATATACATTCAAGGTTTTCGTGCCAAAAAAAACAAAACAGTGACCAAACTCCAAATGAAAATCTAATAGTCCAGACATTTTTCTCAAAAGAATGGTTGTTTAATGCAAGGAAGTTTTACAGAATTAAATATAACAGCAACAAAATGTAAAATAAATTATGTGCAAGTAGATTATGCAGAGAAAATTTATTAAGATAATAATAAAAAAAAAGCAAATTTCATCCAATAATCGAATATTAAGAATGGACAATTGTGTGTGAGGTTAGCTTATACAGGTTGTCCAAAAAAAGAAAAACATCTCAGTCATTCATAAACACAGGTCTTATTTTGTGTAAGTTTACATGCGTCAGTCTGTACTGTATGTTGACAATGTGGTTATATATGCCATTCCATAATCATTTCTGTTAAGTCAAAACATGGTGGATCTGGGTAAATCTACAGATGTACCTTAACTTTATCAACAAAGAGAGCAAACAAAAAGATGTTCCGTTGCATAGTAGCGTAGCAGTCTAGAGTAGTAGTATTTGGCGGCAAGACATTGCCATTTGTCCTAATCAGGACCTGTATTTTGCACCTCAGAGGAATCACTTCCTCTGGGTCAATCTCTTGCTGTGTCCTGGGATTCATTATTTAGACACCTATGCAGTTGCACATACGGCCCAGAGTGCAGGTGGACGGGCCTGTTTGGACCAATGAAAACAGCAGCTGCGTATTTTTGTTGCACAAACAGACACAGAGTAGCCCTTCAAGCGGTATGATGAGATTCATGCATGTGCGAATCAGTCCCAGTGCAGACTGAAACCCTTAGAAAGCATGACGGCCTCCAGGTCACTGTCCTCCTCTTTTTCCCTCACTCGCTGCTCCTCCAGCAAGGCCACCAGCGCATCCCTCTGCTCCACCACATCCAGCATCTCGCTCAATATATGCCTCTCCTCCGCCAGCTCATCCTCCCCCTTCAGATCGTCTGAGAGAGAGAAAGAGGTGCTGTGAAGCTGCTATTAATTAAAGAACAACTATGAGAGAAAACCACAAAGGAGTAAGGGGAAGTTGAACTATTAAAATCCTCTGTGTGTTCTAACCGTCCACCGCCATGCGCTCTCTCAGCTCTTGCTGCAATCGGCTCTGTCTGTCCTCCAGCTCCAGTTCACGTGCACTGTGGACAGACCACACAGATGAGAATAGAGCGATCAAACAATACTAGACCAAACCGAGAAGCTGAACACTTATGTCACTTATTAATATTAGCATTATAAGTACTGCTTTAAAAAAAGTAATAGAACACCAAAGTGTAATATACATTCAAGGTTTTCGTGCCAAAAAAAACAAAACAGTGACCAAACTCCAAATGAAAATCTAATATTCCAGACATTTTTCTCAAAAGAATGGTTGTTTAATGCAAGGAAGTTTTACAGAATTAAATATAACAGCAACAAAATGTAAAATAAATTATGTGCAATTAGATTATGCAGAGAAAATTTATTAAGATAATAAAAAAAAAAGAAGCAAATTTCATCCAATAATCGAATATTAAGAATGGACAATTGTGTGTGAGGTTAGCTTATAAAGGTTGTCCAAAAAAAGAAAAACATCTCAGTCATTCATAAACACAGGTCTTATTTTGTGTAAGTTTACATGCGTCAGTCTGTACTGTATGTTGACAATGTGGTTATATATGCCATTCCATAATCATTTCTGTTAAGTCAAAACATGGTGGATCTGGGTAAATCTACAGATGTACCTTAACTTTATCAACAAAGAGAGCAAACAAAAAGATGTTCCGTTGCATAGTAGCGTAGCAGTCTAGAGTAGTAGTATTTGGCAGCAAGACATTGCCATTTGTCCTAATCAGGACCTGTATTTTGCACCTCAGAGGAATCACTTCCTCTGGGTCAATCTCTTGCTGTGTCCTGGGATTCATTATTTAGACACCTATGCAGTTGCACATACGGCCCAGAGTGCAGGTGGACGGGCCTGTTTGGACCAATGAAAACAGCAGCTGCGTATTTTTGTTGCACAAACAGACACAGAGTAGCCCTTCAAGCGGTATGATGAGATTCATGCATGTGCGAATCAGTCCCAGTGCAGACTGAAACCCTTAGAAAGCATGACGGCCTCCAGGTCACTGTCCTCCTCTTTTTCCCTCACTCGCTGCTCCTCCAGCAAGGCCACCAGCGCATCCCTCTGCTCCACCACATCCAGCATCTCGCTCAATATATGCCTCTCCTCCGCCAGCTCATCCTCCCCCTTCAGATCGTCTGAGAGAGAGAAAGAGGTGCTGTGAAGCTGCTATTAATTAAAGAACAACTATGAGAGAAAACCACAAAGGAGTAAGGGGAAGTTGAACTATTAAAATCCTCTGTGTGTTCTAACCGTCCACCGCCATGCGCTCTCTCAGCTCTTGCTGCAATCGGCTCTGTCTGTCCTCCAGCTCCAGTTCACGTGCACTGTGGACAGACCACACAGATGAGAATAGAGCGATCAAACAATACTAGACCAAACCGAGAAGCTGAACACTTATGTAATACCTGATGTAATCACACAATGCCAGATCAGTCCGCACAGTTCAGATGCTATTAAACATTCAAACTGTTGAATACTCACAATATCATGAGCTCAGATTCATAGCGCACGAGAGCATTCTTCTCTTGCACCAGTTTAAACCACTGATGCATTAAGCTAGGATCATCTTTCTTTCCCATTCCTGTAAGAGAGAGAAGAGGAGCATGGGACACTGGACACGCTAACATACACATGCATGAATATGTCTAAACAGGGTCCAAATTATTACTTTTTGGGTGCTAAAATGCAAGTAAAAATTGCCTTCGGCTTTGGTTCCTCAATATAACATGGTTAAACTATGAGAATGATAGCTTGAAAGATAAAATTAAAGACATGCAAGTCAAATATTCCACTATTCCACTATATAATAATATATATATTATAAAAAATAAATGGAATTTTTAATTAAAATCTATTATAAATTTGTTTTTGTATGTATGTATTAAATATTTGTATTTTATTAAATAATTTATTATAATATTAATTTAAAAACACTTTAAAAAGCTAATTTTGGACCCTACTTATAAACTACACTACTGTTCAAAAGTTTGGGGTCAGTAAGACCTTTTAATGTTTTTGAACCTCTTGAGTCTCTTATGCTTACCAAGGCTGTGTTTATTTGACAAATAAGTACATTAAAAACTGTGAAATTTTAATACAGTTAAATTTATTTTCTATTTTAATATATTATAAAACGTAATTTATTCCTGTGATGCAAAGCTGAATTTTCAGCAACCATAACTCCAATTTTCAGTGTCACATGACCTTTCAGAAAATATTCTAAAATGCTGATGAAACATTTCTTATTATTATCAATGTTGAAAACAGTTGTGCTGCTTAATATTTGTATGGAACCTGTGAAGATATTTTGATAAATAGAAAGTTCAAAAGAACAACATTTACACTATCGTAACATTACAAATATCTTTACTGTCCCTTTTGATCATTTTGCATCATTTGTTGAATAAAAGTTCATTTCTTTCAAAATTCTTTCTTTTTTTGTTTTGAACAGTAGTATACTTGCAGTAGTGAACTTGCAAAACATGCAAGCAGACAAAAACAAACAGGGAGCTGATACACACTAGACAATAATACAAAAAACATCTGCGCACACATACACACACACACACAGTGTCAATCCCAGCAATTCCCAAATAAAACAGGATGTGACATTTTAGATGTACAGCCATGCAGATCAATGACGTGTCATGCCCATGCAACTCCATCGCGAAAGGTTACAGAACGAAATACGAGCATACTGGAGAGAATAACGTACTTAGCTGATGAAGTGGAGGTTCTTGCACTACATAAAGAAAAAAGACTGTACAGACATAAACTGAATGATCGTGTTCTGTCCCTTTAGCTTTGGCTGCGTACAGCAGGACACAGGAAGAAAGAGGAAAAAGAGGAGAGAAAGGTAAAAGGATTTAGAAATGATTGCTATTACAAAATCCACACTAGAGGTGCGACACAGGAAGCTGGTGAGGTGTTACCTTCTGAGGAACAGCAAGGACAGAGATAGACAGGCCTTCTACGAGGGGAACCTAGAAAGGGCTCGACTAAGACCGCAGAGACGGGCAGAAAAAAAGAGGGAGAGGAGGAATTCAGGAATTCAGGAACGCAACAAAGCAAGGATGGGAATAGTGGAGGAATGTGAGGTGCGAAGCTGAAATGGGTCGAGTTGGATGTTCATGTCCAGGCAGTGGTCTGACTGACAACCTGCTGTCTCAGAAAGTAGGCCACCAGAGAGATTAGCTGAAAGTAAAAGTTAAAAAAGCTTCTAAAAATATACCATCTACCCCTACTAAAATCTGTGCTTGTATTTCCAACAGTACTGCCATTTACATCTCATCTCATACAGTCACATCCACCAGTCGATACAAGCTAACTAATGCTACCACAAGCATCTAGATCCAATTTAGACACAAAGCTAACAGCAAGCAGACAGGACAGGGTCCACAACACGAAAACAAAGCCAGAAAGCCTGTTTTTACACCACCCTGTTAACATAAAGATTCTAAAACGGCTGTTTAATTTGTGTTAACACCAAAACTAATGAGCCTGTAAGATGGTAAACATGTTTGTTAGTGTCATTAGCATGAGCGCTTAGTCAGATCGTGGTACATACCACCCAGATGTATGTCCAAAAGGTTAGATGTACTAGAGTCTCCCCAGAAGTCTATATCATGAGGAAGGACAAGTCATGAGGATCGTGACCATTAAAAGTCAAAGAAAACAGAATACCCTGCACCGCTCTGTCTCTGTGTTTTATGAAAATACACTAATGCCGTGAACAGTAAAAGATGATAGGCAATATGTTTTTGATGAATGTAAGACTTTGTAAACAAACATATAATGAGTATGAACAATGAGGGATGATGACATTTCATAGTACATCGTATATATTGCAAGAATGGCTAAAATATTAAATTAAATAAATTAATATAATAAAAACATTTGTGAGGTTTAAGCTTAAAACACAAAATACACTTATATTCAAGATACATTTGAACCAGCTTACACCAGCAAACCCCATTAGACTGGTTTAAGCAGGTATTTTCAGCAGGGTTAACATCTCATAAAATAGTTTTCTTATTTAGATATTTATTTGATTGCCGGGTGTCCTTCTGGCTGGCCGTGTCCCCGGTTTCTGAGACACCGGATCTTTCCGGAAGTCTGGAAGCTTCTTCTGCCTCATCTCCACACAGGATCTCAATTTCATCCGGAGGAAGACTCTGAGCTTGATCGAGGTCGGGATTAAAACTGTCCCGCTGTGGAACAGGAGTAGCGCAGGTCGATGAGAAGACCATAACCTCTCGGTCCAGTATCGGTTCAGAATGATGAAGGGCGCGACACTGCTTACCGACGAGAGGGGAGTGAGATGGGCTGTAGGGAGGAGTCGGAAGACCTGTGTCTGGATTTAAAACACTTTCATTTCCAAATGAGGTGGAATTTAGGTCCAAATCTTGCTTGTCCCCCATCACACAACCTTCTACAGTGATGCTTAGTCTGTGGATTACAGAACAGCGGCCAGTCGTCTCTTCTAAAGCAACGCCTGCATCGCCGTCCATAGTGTGAGATGGTTCAGGCGGGGATGTACTTTGAGATTGAGTTTGTGTGCTGGAGTCACAGTTTCTTGGCATTTGGTAGACAGAATTGGTATTGCAGGACGGTATGTAAGCGACTGAGGTGTAAAAGCTTTCTTTAACGTTAGATGTTTGGGCTGCTGTATGTTTGGGGTCGCATTCTCTAGGCAGCGGAGTCAGGCCTAAACTCTTCCTGATCTCGGCACTCTTCAGCCAGAACTCCTCTACAACCTCTAACCTCTTGACAGGTGGGTTCTCGGGGTTCGTTGATAGCTCAGGTGTGGGAGTGGGGCCTGATTCTGGTAGTTTCAAAGAGGGTGAGGACTCTGCAGGTGACTGGTGCAATGAAATGGACTCTTCTTGTTCCTGTTGGTCACATGGTTTGGACTCTCTTACGGAGCTGGTGTCTATATCTGTGTCATCACTGTATCCTTCAAACGACTCTGCTTATTTAAAGAATGAAGGGATAAAGAAAAAAGTTTAATGAAAATTTGAAAGAATTCTAGATTAGTTCTAGAATCTTCTTAACAAAATAGTTTTGTGGGGGAAGCGGAGCAGCCTTTCAGGTGCTCTTAAACAAGCAGTAACATAAAACAGCCTGAAAAAAGATACGCTTGTAAAGAGGGTACAGTCATGGTACAAATAAACTATAGAAAAGCAAATGTATTGTTTTGGAGGTTTTGACAGATCCATATTCTGGAACTATATTTCAAATCAGTTCTTAAACATGTACAATAGCTAAATAAAAAATCATTTAAAATATTTTTTTTATTAAACATATATCAATTTAAATATAAAAATTATATTAATTTAGAAATATACTGTATATACTGTATATTCCCCCCCCCCAAAAAAAATTGTTCCTATTATGAGTGTGCATCTAACTGTTGCTACTGTTATGGCTTTAGTGTAGTACATTTCACATTACTTGTACCATGTGCATCATTTTCGTGTACATTTTGTGTACAATTTTTGCTGTGCATCAATTTTTACTGTCTAGTATCTATAAAGTAGGTCATTTCTTTATTTATACTTCATAAACTGCAAAAGTCATTAAAAGTATGTGCTAACCAGGCATAGTGAATTAAATTCGCTTTTTATTATTTCTGTAGTGGCAAACTACAAAGTCTCGCCCCTTAGTGAAATCTTACTGGTTCAGAATCTTACACTATGTAGCAAATATGTTGGGATTGGTAGTGATTGTTTGCATTGTGCAGCATTATTGCTTTCTGTGTGGGCAGATAAATTACAATGTGAAAACATGTCATGTTGTGCCTGGCTAGGACACGGTTTAAGTTAGATACTAATTGGCAAAATATATAAAACAGGCAAACTAAAACAACTGCACATTATTTCCATAGCATGAAAAATTTAAGGGGGTCTGAATACTTTCCGTACCCACTGTATGTGTAAATATATATACAAAAAAATATAAATATTTATTACATAAAATATAAATAAAAATGTAATAAATACATTAAAAATCTGTCTGACATATATAGTCATTATACTGATAATGCGTGTGTACTATAAAACATACATTTTTAAATTGTATATATATCTAAAAATAGGCACATAGAGGATCTGAAAGAAGTATAATGGTGATATTGATGAATGATGAGGTTACCTGAGTACCTTTCTGTACCTTTACCTTTCTCTGAGCCATTCTGAAGCTGAAGTGGTGCTTACAGTAAAACTTTCCTGTACAAACCGAAAGAAAGGATAAGACGTGAGGGAGCGGGAAAATAAAAAAGTAGCTGATGTAGGGAGTAAATGTCTTATTTATACCATTGCTTAAAGTCTGTCTGAATGCCGCCTCTTTTTTTAAACTTGAAGTGTTCGAATCATGTGATCTATATGACCCTATGGTTCCACTTACACATTTTTGGTGTTTTGATTTCTATTTTTAAAAAAATGTTTAAAAGGCATTTTGCTGAGGGCGTTCAATTTGTGTGTGTGTGTGTGTGTGTGTGCCCTACTGTCATTATCGGACAACAATAAAAGCCCTGTCCCAACAGACACATATTTCAGACCTTATGACTGTGCAATGGTAACAAAAGAGCAGTTTGTTTGCCGAAAACAGTTGCCTACAGGAACACAGAACAACAGGGCATTTTCACACACTGTATCACCCATCGTGAGACAACATCCATTAAAAGCTAAACACCTATTGTTTTTGATATGAGCATAAAATCTTAAAAGATTTGGATTTTATTTATTGACATACATTTATTTAATAACTATATAGTGTCAATATATAATTAACTATAAATGTCATATATAATTTAAGAAATCATAAAATGTGTTATATTTTTTATTGACACATGATCTATTTATTTATTTATGCTTTTAATTAAATACGCCACTCTTAAATCCTCAAGTCCAATAGAAAATGTAATTTACATGCGATTTATTTATTGACAAATTTCCTATTTCTTTTAATAGTGTGAAGAAATAAATAACTACACTTCAATAAATAAACAAATAATAAAATATGTATTTATATTATATATTATATATATATTAATATATTATTTTATAAATATAACATTTAATAATATGTAATATATTTATATGCATATTTATTTATTGACTCATTTCATGATCTATTTAGCTACTGATGATTTTAATGAAATATTTATTAATATGGCACTCCCGAATCCTCCATAAATATTTTTTTTTACTAGATGTACATATTTAAAACGGTTCCTTCTGGGAAGCAGACCAAAAATAATGGTGCCACAGTCACATCATATACATTTTAATCCAATAAAATGCTAGCAA